GGCCGTTTGGTGGTACCTTCTGCTGATGATTTGAGGAAGGATGTGATGACTGAGACTCACCACTTTGAGTTTTCTGTTCATCCAGGAGGCGACAAGATGTATCAGGATATGAAGCGGCAGTTTTGGTAGGCAGGTATGAAGAGGGACATTGCTCTTTTTGTCTCACGATGTAGTACTTGTCAGATGGTCAAGATTGATTATCAGAGGCCGCCAGGAGCTCTACAGCCACTATCGACACCGGAGTGGAAATGGGAGAGCATTTCTATGGATTTTGTGGAAGGGTTGCCAAATTCCTTCAAGGATCACAATTCCATTTGGGTTATTATAGACAGAGTGACGAAATTAGCTCATTTTTTGCCTATTCGCACTGACTACACTTCGGAGTAGTTGGTAAGACTTTACATTACCGAGATTGTGAAGTTACATGTCATTCCATTATCTATTATATCGGACAGGGATTCGAGTTTTGTGTCGGGATTCTGGAAGAGTTTTCAGTACGCTTTGGGTACAGAGTTGCACCTTAGTACTGCTTATCATCCTCAGATTGATGGACAGACTGAGAGGGTTAATAAGATCATGGAGGATATGCTTTGGTCGTGCGTTCTTGATTTCAAGGGCCACTGGGAGGATTATTTACCGCTTGTGGAGTTTGCCTATAACAATAATTTCCAGAAGACTATTGGGATGGCACTATTTGAGGCGTTATACGGCCGACCGTGTCGATCGCCTGTTTGTTGGATGGAGGTTGGCGAAAGCAGATTCTTGGGTTCTGAGTTCATCAAAGATACTTATGAGAAGATAGCTCTTATTAGAGATCGCATGCGTACTGCTCAGGGTAGGCAGAAGAGCTATGCTGATCGTCGCACTCGTGCTTTGGAGTTTTAGGTTGGAGATCAGGTTCTCCTTAAAGTGTCTCCTATGAAAGGAGTCATGCGCTTTGGGAAGAAAGGGAAGTTGTCACCGCGATTTATCGGTCCATTTATGATTACGGATCGAGTTGGAGCTGTTGCTTATCGGTTGGCACTTCCAGATAACTTGGATCGCGTACACAATGTATTCCATGTTTCCATATTGCGGAAATTTCTGCGAGATGAGGATCGGTATCAGTATATCAATGTTGGGGACGTTGAGTTGCAGCCGGATGCAACTTATTTGGAGCTACCATGTCGTATTGTTGACCGGCGGATTAAATCCTTCATAACAAGGTTATTCCATTAGTTCGTGTTCAGTGGAGTCATCACAATGAGGCTGAGTCCACTTGGGAACAGGAGGCTCGCAATTTCCTAAAATATTGGAAGAACGTAAGAGCGAATTCCGAGGACGGAATTTCTTTTGTTAGGGGGGAAGAATGTAATACCCCTAAATTTTAAAAGGATATTTCTGGAATTAAATTTATTATTTGATTGCATTTTACTTGATTATGTGTCATTTTGTTGGATTATTTGTTTAATTTAAATTATATTGTGGTGCTTTAAGTGATTATTATTTAATTTGAATTATTTATCTAATTTGAATTATTTGTTTATTTGAATTAATTGTTTTATTTGAATTATATGTATTACGTGAATTATTTGTATTATTACATCTGTTATATTATTTATTTATGATTTTTGATTTAATGGTGATTTATTTTGTCTATCGTAACTTAGGGATATCAGTTATAACTTTGGCTTATAATTTACGTATAGGTGAGCCGCCGTAGGTTAGAACTTAGATAGTTTTATGGGCCGATTAGGAGGGGAATTAGGGCTTGGTCTCTAAATTAAACATGGACTAAGGTTGCTTGGATAAACCTATAAGTATGTGCATTACCGTGGTTTAGGGTTAGGAGACAGAAAAATAAGAACAATATAACAACATTCTGTAAAACAGAGAGATAGAGAGGTACAGAAATACAGAGAAAGAAACACAGAGTGGAGTTGAGTGTTATACAGAGTAGCTCAAGGAGGAATAAGCGTGGTTGTGTGGAACTATAGTCTAGGATATTAACAGAACCTTCAGAGACGGTGAATTAGAGTTTCAAATCTGAAACTCAAAGGCAAGTCTCTGTTCTTCTCTTTCCCAGGAATTTGTGTTCTGTGCATGCTTAGTTAGACTCCAGGAATTAAACTTAGTTTTAATTACATCGTTTATGCATGTTAAATCAGTTTCTAGCATCATTGAATTATTATCTGTTTCTCAATTTTTACAAGTTCAGTTTTTATATGGTTATCGTTGCTTTAAACATTGATTTGTAATTCAATACATAGATGTATAACTCTGCCTTGTGATCAATCTGGAATGAGGATGGGACCTTAAAACATGTAATAGAACTGAATTTAAAGACTGGAAACCACCGGAGTCGGAGAAGACAACAGAAAACAGCTTACGGCTCTTAGGGGTGAGAGCAGGCTCCAAAAAGGGAGGGAGCCTGCTCCCAAATTGCTAGAGCAGGCTCTCTAGGGTTGAGAGCTGGCTCTCAACCTTCTAGAGCCAGCTCCCAAAGTAAACCTGTTTCAAGGCTACTGAATGATGTAATACACTATTTAAGACTTATATAAGAATTAAGAAGCAAGCTTATATCCAGAAATTTGGGATGAAATTAGCTTAAAGTTCAAAGTAAACCTGTAGGAGAAAGGGTTGACATAAACTGGTAATGGCTTACTGTTTTAGGGATTTAAGTTCTTTGCATGACTTAGAATTATGAATCATGCTTTGCAGCTGAGTTATAAGCATTATGTTATTTAATTATATGTATGCTTAGTTGGGATTAACTAACAATTAAATCTGTTATATATCTCATCTATTACAACATTGTTTGGAGGAGGTAATTACATAGTTGGATTCTGTCAATTTAAAGGACTGGGATTTGTTTTCTAAATCTATTATTGGATGCATGATTTAGTTTTACACATATTAAATTGTATTTGTGCTTATTTTGGAATGTAGTTGATAACTATTTAACTGTTTTGTCAACTTTGGTAAATGGAGGATAGTATGTATCGGTATGGGACGGTGGCATACTAGGTACGGACTAGTTCAGACACTAAGCCTACCTAATCTGGATTGAGGTTTGGATTAACAATAAAAATTAAGTCCGACTTCTGTTAGTGTCAGGTCAGTAAATAACTGAATGACATACTTGGATTTCTGGGATGAATTGTTATACAGATATCGAGCCACTATATCAGATGGATGATATTCTGTATTAAGAGGGCACGGACTTTATATATTTATGATGCCATGGTATGGGCTTGAGTCTCTTGACCATGGTTAGGGAGCGTATATCACCTAGGATGGATAGCTGGATAGTAGTTGTTGTTCCCTGGTAGGTCTAGGTACACATGACCACATAATGTACGATTTGCATGGTATCTCTACTCAGGCTGAGACAGACCTATTGGACTAGTGAGCGTCCTATAGTGTGTAATATATACATATATGGACTACTCTAGATATTGTTGAGTCTATCTAAGATGTATCTACGTATCGGATTCTTATTTGGATCGTAGTAGATCAGGACTTGCATGTGGGCCTGACCCACTCTTTTATTATTTTCAGGTGCTCTTTAGTTCCAGGGTTAGAGCTTGGTCGTGCAGAGCAAATATAGACTTCTATTCCACCAACTACGTAGGATTGCTTACTTATTAGCTTTGGATCTTATTTTAGTTATTTCATTTTACAATTGTGATTTTTATTAGGGGTCCACTAGATGGATTCCCGAGTTGTTAATTAATTGGAGGTTTTGGAGTTTGGATATTTATAACATGATTTTGAGGATTTTCAATTAAAGTTCTTTTCAGCCATTTTTATTTCCTTCTTATTATTTCATCTTGTATTTTGTGTTCATTAAAGTATTAATTGTTTGATATTTCCCTCGGGTTTGGGCCTGGGCTTGATCAACCCGTGTCTTGGATCTGGGGGTTATCACATTCACAAACAAGTCGGGCTTATAGGGTTTTTATTCTTAGAACCAAAATGGCTATGAAGTCTATAAATGTGGTTTTTGATTATACAAATCTAAGATAACCTCGTCTCAACTTAATGAACAAGAAACTAATTTTGAAATTGTAGGAGAGAGGAAAGAACCTACAATTCATGAAGAAGAAAGAGTTGATGACAAAGGTGGAGAAAGTGAAGAGGTTGAAGAAGATGAGGATGAGGAATTAGAGGTCACTACTGATGAACCTATAGGAGTTCCTGTACCATCTCTAGATATTCCTATATCTTGCAGTTATTGAGTTAGATTGAGTCATCCAATTGATAATGTGATAGGTCCATGAGATAAGCATGGCACTAGGAGTACAGTCCGTGATGATGTAGGACACTCATGCATTGTAGATGACATAGGACATTCATGTCATATGGCTCAGTTTGAACCTAAGAATGTTGATGAAGCTCTTTAAAAGTCTGATTGGCTTATGGCTATGCAAGAAGAATTTCTTCAATTTGTGAAGAATGATATTTGGGAATTAGTGCCTTGACCTAGCGACGTTAATATCATAGGGATCAAATGGATTTTTAAAAATAAACTTGATAAACATGGTCTTGTGATAAGAAATAAAGCTAGGTTAGTTGCACAAGGATACACTCAAGTTGAAGGAATTGATTTTGATGAGACTTTTGCACTAGTTGCTAGACTTGAGTCTATTCGACTTCTTTTTGCTCTTGCATGTCACTTTAAATTCAAATTGTTTCAAATAGATGTGAAAAGTGCTTTTCTAAATGGTATTTTGCAAGAAGAAGTTTATGTAGCACAACCAAAAGGTTTCATTGATCCATATAATCCTGATTTTGTGTTTCATCTTAAAATGGCTCTTTATGGTTTAAAGCAAGCACCTAGAGCATGATATGAGAAGTTAACTTCTTATTTAATGCAAAATGGCTTCAGAAGAAGAGGAGCAGATAAAACATTATTTATTATCAGGAAAGGAAAAGATTTTTTTGTTACTCAAATATATGTGGATGATATTGTTTTTGGTACTACATGTGATAACCTTGTTCATAATTTTTCGAAAGATATGAGTAATACTTTTGAAATGAGCATGGTTGGTGAACTAACTTTCTTTTTAGGCCTCCAAGTGAAACAACTTGATGATGGGATTTTCATATCTCAATCAAAATATGCAAAGGAGCTAGTTAAGAAGTTTGGTATGAAAGATTCAAAGCATGTTCAAACTCCTATGAGTACTTCATTCAAATTGGATAGAGACTCTGATCCTAACAAGGTTGATCATTTCTTGTATAGGAGTATTATTGGTAGCTTGTTATATTTGGTAGCGACTAGGCCAGATATTTTATTTAGTGTAGGTGTTTATGCTAGGTATTAAGCTGATCCTAGAGAACAACACATTCTTGCGGTCAAGCGTATTATTCGTTATGTCAATAGTACATTGAATTATGGATTGCATTATTCTTCTGAGTCTAACTCTGAGATTGCAGGTAATACTGATGCTGATTGGGCTGGTAACAAGGATGATAGAAAAAGTACTTCAGGTGATTGTTTCTATGTTAGTACTAACCTTGCTTCATGGTATAACAAGAAGCAAAATTACATATCTTTATCATTTTGTGAAGCTGAATACATTGCTGCTGGAAATTGTTGCACACAATTGCTTTAGATGAAACAAATGCTTCTGAATTATGGAGTTGATCAATGTACTATTGCTATCTTTTGTGATACTGCTAGTACAATTAATATTTCAAAGAATCCAGTTTTGCATTCTTGGACTAAACACATTGACATCACTTTCGTAGGGAACTTGTTAAACAAAATGTCGTGTCTTTAGAAAGAGTGCATATTGATCAGAATTTGGCTGATATTCTCACTAAACCATTAGATGCTCTTAAGTTTTCTCATTTTAGGAAATCTATTGGTGTCTGTTGTCTTGATTAGATGTATTGCAAAGACATAGTCTAGAAAGGATTTTCATGTACATCTTAAGTGTCTAGATTATATTTTTGGGGAGTTAAGCAAACCATATTGATTGAGTATGTTAAATACAAGGAGTTTCATGACACATGGATTATCTGTGGAAAGCATACAATGGCTATGAATTGATGAAATTGGTTTTGCTTACTTATTTCGTATAGTAAATGAATCATTGATAGTACATTTACTTGAGATGTCATTGTTTTGATCAAAGATAATGTTGACATGATTGATCATTATCTTGGAATTTAAACTTGCTTTATGTGTTTTAGACCAAAAGAGTGAAAAGAAAAGAAAAAGATTGAAAAATAGCTTGGAATGAAAAAAATTTTGAAAAAGAAAGAAAAATATTTGCTGTTTTGAAAAAGGTAAGATGGAAAAGGCTACATTTGGGATTTGTCCGAAAGCTACCTTAACTCGAAACAAATGGGAATAAGGGAAAGAGTTGGCTGCCCATAAGCATGAAAGCCGCCAATGTGCAAAAAAAAAAATGGAGCACAAAGAGTGAAGTTAAAAACAAATATCTTTTGCACATGTTGATTGTTTGATTTCTAAGGAGATGTGATATCATTGATTTATTATCTGAAATCTGAAAATTGACAGATCATATACTTTTGAAACTTGGTGGTTATTTTACTACATTTACTAAGTTTGTGGAACTTAATTGAATTGATCTTGGTTATTTTCTGTTGATACATTTAATCTTGTGGAGTCTACATTCTCATTGGTTTCAATTTAGAAGATTCATATGGTTGGTTGTTTCCTACTTCTAGGATATTTCTTCTTTGAGACTCTTGTTAATTTGTGACAAAAGAGGGGAGAGAGTTTAGAGTCTTATCATTTAGGGGGAGATATACTTTTGCATTAAGAGAGAACTTTTTGCATTGAGGGGAGAAGAACCATTGTTATCATTGCATGTGTTTACATAGCGTTGATATAATGGCATTAAAATTTGTTATTTTATGCTTGTGTTTATTTTCTTGATTAAGCTTCATGGGTAGTTGTGTTTGAGCTAATGTGCAGATTACAGGTTGCTATATGTGTTGAAGTTTCATAAGATTCAAGAAAATTTCCGCATTATATTTCCTTTAACAATCATTGTAATTTACTTTCCTGCTTGGGTAGATTGCTGAATTGTTTTAGTGTTTTGTCACGAAATTGCCAAAGGGGGAGATTATGAAATATATATTTTGTAATTGTCTAATTTCGTTGTCAAAACAAATCCGATGTAGTTGTAATCTTTCGGTTTAAAATTTCGAAGATTGAAGATCGGATGCGGATTTGAAGAAGGTCAAGTGTTCTTGATATATTACAATCCGAGATGATGAGAACAATGCTCTAAGAAGTTTTGAGAGGTAGTGAGAACATTTGGGAAGGGTTTTAAAAGGTTTTAAACAATATTTTACATTCTATTCATCTTGAATTAGTTCAAGATTTATTGAACAGGTTCAACATCAGCAGAATAGTCAAAGTTTCAAGACTGGACGTCTTGAACTGGTTCAATAGGGCTGAACCAGTTCAAGAATCCGAGGGATTCTTTACTGGTCATCTTGAACCGGTTCAGCCTTGGCAGCACTTGGATTTAAGTTTTCTTTTTAGTGTTTGATTCCTTTTTTGATTCCAACTTCTTTCAAAGTATTATGCACGAAATTTATCATATTTTATGAGGGATTAGGACTTTCAAAACTCTATATAAACATTATCATATACATTGGTTTATTAACGGCTTTAGGAAAAATCAATTCTATATTTTAAGAAAGCCTATAAAGAGAGAAAAATTCAGAAAATCAAATTTGATTATTCTGAATTTATTTTTGAGAGCACAAATATATATTCAGGAGTGATTTAGTTGTATTGTTCTCTATCTCATCGGAATTGGAACTATATTGAAGATTTAGAGATTCCGGATGATCAGCAGGATTTAATTCTTCTACATCTAGTTCAGATCTTGAAGAACAGAAGTAAAAGCAATCACACTTTAAAAGGGTTGGAGCATTCGTAGAGCGCTGTCTGATTTACCTGCTACTCTTCTACAAATATGAAGCATAAGCCTGATGTCAAGTTGCTGTTGGACGGGGAGTCACAAAGCCATAGGATTGTCAGCAGTTGGTGTTTGGTAGAACGATAGGGTGTGAGCCAGAGTCAAAGTCCGGTATACTTTATTTCAAGCATAGTAGATTGATTACTTTGGACTACACAGTCCACGAGGTTTTTTCCATAACAGTTGACATATTTTATCAACTGGGGTTTCCTCTCTAAAATCCTGGTACAATCTTTCTAACTCTAACTTGCTTTACTTTTCATATATTTGTAATTGTGGATGTTGAAATTGATCATATAATTTAATCAATCATAAATTGAGCAAGTTAACCTAATAATCAGATCTAGGTCATTAAAGGAGTTAATCACAATTAAAATCAACTAACTGTTTCCACACCCCGCGTAATTCTGATTGCTCATAATAAAGGGTAAAAGAGGAAAATAAAACACAACCTTAGAAAAAAAAAGAAGCAGGAATCGGTCGACGTGTGAGATAACGGTCCACGTGTGGGAACTTCATGTCGACTGAATCTCCTCTAATATGCACACTCAGTTTCATTTAATTATCCAACCAATTACACTGAAACCACCCCAAAACCAACTACTAAGTTACCACAATTACACAAATAAAATATCACTAAAACACCATTGTATGTGCTCACACACACACACACACACACACATATATATATTCCTAATAATTCTTTAATTCATGCATATTCAAACAAAACTACGTTAATATAACTTTGGGGCTATCCACACCCACATGTTACTAAATACACAACTATATCCATAGGTGAAGATTTAGTAAGATTAAATTAATTACATCTTCAAATTTGGTCAAAATGTATCTAAAAGAATAGCCACTCATTGTCATAGTGATCATTACAAAATAATACATTTTTGCTCCATTTCTTACAAAATAATACATGGATTACTAATGATACAAAAATAATGAATTCTTTAACATTGACTACCCTTGAGGAGGAACGTCGTCAACTACCTTCTTGTCATGACCTGAAAAATGATAAAGGAAGGGGTGAGCATGAGGCTCAGTAGGAGATGCCTAATGCACAAATTTGGACTTCCTTGAGCCACACATCACACATACGGGATAAATAGAAAACTTGGATCATATTTGGTGTTTTTATAACATTTTATCCACAAATCAACAAACACAATAGTATTTTGGCATGTCAATACAAATATGCATAAAATGTAATGCAATGCTCCACATTATCCCAACTTGGTCTTTACCGACCCCAACTTGACCTACACCGGCCTTAAACTTGGTCTCTACTGACCCCAAATTCACATTTGAAAACCGCTAACCGACTTCACCGAGGTGAGATTGATAACTATCCTTGGTTCCAAAATCGGCAAGCATTTAGAGCCTAGTATCAACTTTTTCACATCTAGAACCGGCACGCGCTCCCTCTAGGTCGAATTAGCATCGGACTCGCGAAATCCAATTCATTTTTTTAAAAATTATTTCAAAATCCTTTTCTCATTCCCATTTCCCGCCATGTTATGCATATGCCTCATTTCAATTATTTAACATCAATTTCGTCAAACCAACAACAATGGCCGTACATAATACTTTCTACAATGCACTCTCAACATGGTATTCTTTTAGGAAATGAACACAAGCATGATCTCTCATTTCAATTAACCACAAGCATGCTTATTATAAAATCTCACAACATCATAGATCATGCTAGCATTTGCAATTTAGACACCTTTGAACCAAGGCATGTTATACACATATTTAGCATATCAATAAACACATTTTTATCTCAATCACTAGCATGCCTTCAATCATATCAATATATCATCATCTTCAATTACCATAAAATCATATAATCACATAACTTGCCTTTAAAATAGAATAAATAAGAAATCAAGAGAAAATTGCTCAACAAAAGACAAAGCTTTGAAGCATTAGAAATCCCTACCTCATGTGTGCTAGCCAACCATACCCTTAGCCAAGCCAAACAAGCCCTAAGGCCTCCCCAAAATTTGAAATTCCTCTTGCCCTTGCAATATGGGTGTCCATGTGTAGCCCTTGCCAAGCTCATCAATTTTTTCTTCTTGTTCTCCCTCAAAATCCTACCCTAACTTCTCCAAATTCAAGCTTTTTCCATGGAAGTTGGAAACCTAGTTTCGCGGTTTCCAACTTCCCAAGGAGAGCAACTGGTTCCGCACAACTTAACCGATTACGCTTGTCATACACCAACATTGTACAATTCATTGCCCAAATGGAACCAGTTACATTTTGGCAGTAGCCAAAGCCAAAATCTGCAACGCCACATGAAGAATCAATTTCGTGAAGAGGAACTAGTTGCCATATGCTAGTAATCAAAACAATTTTAAAAAATCAACAAGTTTGACCACTCTAATTTTTCACGTAATCAACACGTAATCAAACTCCATGAACCACAACATCCCACTTTATAAGTTTCTATTGATTGTTAATATTTTGGAATTCAAAAGTTTCTACTCAACTTAAAATTTCTTAATATGTTTATCAAAAAGGCAACAAAACATGAGCTGCTCTAACAGCTTCACGGGGCGAACAAGTCAAAAGGATTAATTTGACTTTTGAGTTGGAGTTAATACTAATGTTTTAAGTCCGAGAAATTCGTATAGCCGTGGAAAATAATTTGGAGGACTCCCAATCACCACTTTATAAGTTTATATTGATTGATATTAATGGTTGTATTGGGTTAATGGCAGGGTCCTAGAAAGGCGGAACTTGAGAAAGTTCAAAATGTAGAAGTAACCAGCATTAATAAACTCTGTATTTTCTTTTTATTCTTAAAAAATTGCCTTTTTCTCTAGAATAACAAATTCCAATTCTTTTCCCGGAATTCGAGGTCTGATATTTTACTTGGCGAAAAAATAACAAATTCATAGTTATGATCATCATCCAAATGATATATCTTCCAATTAAACTTCATCTATAATGGTAAATGAAATTGAAAAAGCTTTACAACCAAGTTGGTGGTGTCACCAACCTTTTAGTCTTTTACTGGATCAGAAGGATTGCTATATTTACGGTATCTTGGAAATGCACATAAATATTGTTTTTGCCGGTTTACTCCACAACTATAATCCAAATTTGATTTCTCATCTCTCCGTAAGATGTTTGCCAAACGACTTTCCTCATCTAATTCTTCATTGTAATAGAACAGAAACAATCATTAATTTGACATAATATATTTCTGGGTCACCCCAGAATATATTAGCATACCCCATAATATATTTAGTTTGAAATGAATTAAGTGACATTAGTTTGGGAAACCTCGGTGCAAGAAAGGATAGCCCTTATTAATTGATTTTTCCCATTTCCTAAAACAATAAATCCACTGTTTTTGATGGGTCCTTAAACCTTGTTGCAAGAAGGAAAGAGTTGGGTGTGTTATGGCTTGGGCATGAAGAGCTCAATATGAGAACAGGGCATGTATGCGATAACTCATTTGGAAAGCAGTCCTGAGTTAATGCCCTGTTTGTGTTGCTTTGAAAGTTAAAATACATTCTCACACTTGTTAGTTTGACATTAAACTTTTACACCAACACATAACCCCTTTTATGAACACATATCTATTTTGATAATGAATTTCTTAATGTGGTTTTCTCTTTGAAGGATAATTCTTGGACAGAGACAGTAAATTACTAATTTTCCTTTTTTTTTTGTAGAGAAACTGGGGTTAACGTCAATTATTCTTTGCAGTGGAGATTTCTTATAATATTCATCCTAGTGGACACCACGATGTCTTTTCCCTACCATAAGGTCTCTGTATGCCTCCAATAAAAGGTCCAGAGACATTTAGGTGGTCGCGGAAGGATCCAACCAATAAAAGGCTCCAATTTTTTTTTTTTCCTTATATATTGTTACCCTTTCTAATTTTTTTTTATTTTATTTTCTTATATTATTAGACCCATCCAATAGCAAAACTCCTAATTTTTTTTTCCCTTGTATTATTATACTCCAACCAATAGCAGAGGGCTCCATTTTTTTTTATTTTTTTTTATTTTTTTTAAATTCGTATATTATTATCTTCATAAATTTTTTATTTCCTCATTAGACTCCAACCAATCGAAGATTTAATAGTGGGCTCAAAGAATTAACTCCTATTTTCCATCCTTATCTAAACATTTTTATTCCCTCCCCTCATTCCAATTTTTTTTCCTCTATTATTACATCTATATTAATTATTGTGTATATCTCTAATTTTCTATTTTAAAAAAAATTTAGCAAAAATTTGAATACAATAACCTAATTACTAACTTTGCATCTCAAAAACCAAGATGATAATTTTTAAATAAACATAAATAACTATTACTAGCTGTTTACTCCATTATTTTTGGCCCATTGGAAAGGCGATATGTGGCGAGTTTCAATGGAACTTACCACGCTGGATCGCAACTCTAATAAGTTATTGTTGGAGTATTAAAGCTATTTTACGTAGCAGTCAAAGACAAGTGGGTTAGTATAAACCTACTATGTGGGGTTTTTCCATTTTAAGAGAAAAGAGGTGAGTCCTATTAGGACTTACCATCTTTAAAGTAAGGGTCCACATATTCTTATTTGGAAAAGGGATTATTGTATGGAAATACTACCATACATGCAACCTCATGCAATTATTCAAGACAGATTCAACCAATTGGTTCTCAACACATGGCGAGCTTCATTAAACTTGCCACGGTGGATTAATTTTGTTAAAGATGAATTTATTGGAAGTTCTTATTCTTATAGGATACCAATTAAATGGGTATTTTCCATTAAATTAAAGTTGACCATTCAGCATGCCGTGGGGATTCAATTTATTTCTATAAATATACATATATTTAACCCACGATGGAGTGATTATCGTGAGTCCATGATGCCTTGAAGTCTAATGAGGCAAGGTTGAGGAGAGGTTGCTAGAATTAGGGGAGTGCACCATAACCACGACGCCACCATATGAAGTTCATATGGAGGGTTCAGCCTAAAATCCAGGAAATCGTGGCCTATGAAAGGAAAGGAAGTGGGTTGGATATAATCCCACGATGAAATAGTCCTAAAATCTAGGAGGTTATGGCCCATGAACTCTAAACCTAGAAGGAAATTCTCAAGATGGAAGTTACCAAAATCATGGGAACGTGGTTTACAAAAGAAAAGGGACGTGGGGAATAGTATGTATTTATGGATATATATCTATGTATATATTTATATATATCAGATATAACCCATGAAAGGAAAGAATTGCTGAAGTCGTGGGTGCTGAGGGAAGAAGGTGTTGAAATTCAGGAGTTTATGGCGCCATGAATTCTAAAGTTCAGAAGGAAAGTCTCAGAATGGAAGTTATCAAAGTTTAAGAGACGTGGGCAACTATATTTTTTTTGATATATATATATATATATATTTGAAATATTATTCACGATGAGGAGGTTACTAAAAGTTAGAGACCACGACGCCATAAAAGGAAGGCTTTGCAGAACAGGAAGACTACTTGAGATCGTGGGACACTTGGCCAAACAAGAAAGCGTCGGTTGAGAGTAGTGGAATTTCTTAAGGAAACTACTACTAACCGAAGCAGTTGTTGAAGAAAGTGGTCTAAATCGTGTCTGAAGAAGGAAGAGTCTACGATAGAGGAAGAAGGAGATGGGAAGAAGAAGTTATAACCGCTAAAAGAATGTGGGGCACTTGGTAGTCTAGAATTTGGCCAAGTGGAAGCTACTAAGGCTACCACACATCTGTTTACATGCATGGAGGGGCTCTATAAATAGAACACTTAGAGCTAGTTTGTAAACCCTGTTCAAGACACACAACCAATAGCACTTCAATTTCTTTACATTCATATATCTTTACATTCATGTAATGCAATTTCTGTATGTTTAATTCAAGTTATGCACTTATTATTCCTACTTTCTAGCACTTTACTTTGAAGTCCTGCACTTTCAATATAGCTTTCCTTTCCACTAGCCATAATTCAGTCTGAAAGTCCTTTTTCAAGGCAAAAAGAACCCTTGAAGGTGGTAATTCCAGTCCTTCATTCAATCACCTGATCCCTACAATTTCCTACTGGATAGTTGTTCGGATATCCACTTTGGAACGACAGCAGTTCCTGGCACGCCCAACGTTCACCCTCCTTTCCTAATTGGAAAAGACCCCGGTTTTCAAGAGCCGAACATATTGGCACGCCTAGTGGGACATCTAGACAGATTGTTCAATGGCCGGTGGAAGAAGGCAAGGCATGTCTGTCCAAGACCCTGCCGAACTAAAAGAGATACAAGCCAGTGAACTTCCAGTGGAAAGTTCACGATTTGCATCTGATGAAAATGATATGGTGGAAAAATTTGCTCAAATAATGGCAAATGGACCCATCATGGACAACATCCGCATGATGGCAATGCAACAAGATAGGTTTGCGCAAGACTAAGCTAGAGTCGTCCAAGACTTAGCCAGAGTTGTGCAAGACCAATCTAAGGCTAGTCAAGACCATGCAAAAGCTGCTCTTGCTAATGACCGAAAATTAGAAGAGATGGTGGACCGAATCTCTCAAAGTTTGAGTCTATGTTGGAAAGGTCCTTTGGAGGTTTGTCTCAAATTTTGGCCCCTCGGCCAAGCAACTCTGAAAGGTCTCAACAGTCGGCCTTCCAAGCTAGTAAGCCGGCCACATTTGTTGAAGGAAGTTCCTCTTAGCAACATGCAGGGCCATTTCCTCCAACTCAGCAGCAGGTGCAGTCCTTTCCAATGGCACAAACTTACACTCCAGCTGCACCTGTGACTGCTTCAGTGCCACAGATGACTGTTCCACAAGTTACGCCCATGCCAACCATTCAACAAGTTCAGAATTCTCCACCAGTGGTATTTCTACAGCAGACTTGGCATGATCAACCTGGCCAACCATGGCCATACCACAACCCACAAGCACAACAGAACGTTTCACCTGTGAACATTCAGCTAGCCACACCTGTTCCAGCAAGGCCACCCATGGTCATTCCTATGGCGGTTGGGGGGCAACCTTTTCCAAGGGAGCCACTTCTTGACCAAGGAGGAAGGAACCGTGGCAAAAACAACTATACAGATGCCAACCCCTTGCTTATGGATGGTGGAGGGTATCAGGTGGCCAATCAACCTCAAGGTTGGCCAGACAACAACCCTCCACAACCTATGGCTCTTGATAGAGTCTAATTTGCAGAATTCCTTCATCAGGAATTTGGCTTAACTCGAAGGGGTGGAAGACCAAATTACAGAAAGCCCTATCCAGAGTTCATTAATGAAGTTGAATTTCCAAGGAATTTCAGAATTCCAGAGTTTGCAACGTTCAATGGAGAGGGCGAACAATCTACCTTGGAACATATCAGTCGATTCACTGTCCAATGTGGAGAAGCAGCAGCCAATCCATGGCTGAAAGTACGCTTGTTTCCAAACACACTGACTGGATATGCTTTCAGATGGTATTCCAACTTGCCAGCCAACTCTATTCAAAGTTGGCAGCAATTTGAGGATTTATTCCATACTCAGTTTTATAGAGCTGAGCTTGAAGTGTCCATGGCAGACCTTTCCAGACTTCACCAACTACCTGGAGAGTCTGTGATGAGCTTCCTTTCTAGATTCAGGCGGGCCAAGTTCAAATGTAATTTGTCTTTGCCGCCAGAAGAATATGTGAAGATGGCTATGAACGGCTTAGAATTTGAACTTCGCAAGAAGTTTAAAGGAGTATAATTTCATGACTTATTCGATTTGGCTGGCAGAGTGGCTAAGTATGAAGAGCTCCTTCGTGAGGAGCAAGACCGGAAGAGCTCTTCTAAGGGCACCTACTATCGTGATCCTAACTATAAGGTGTATACCACTGAAACTGAAGGGGAGTTTGAAGTAAATGTAGCTAAGCTCAACATAAAAAAGGCTTATACTTGTGAGGCCTTGACAAAACCAAAGTCAGCCACGGCCAACTTGCAAGCCACTTCTGGTTCCAAGTGGAAGGGAGCAGACCCTTCAAAGAGTAATTCTTTTGACATCTCTAAAGCCAAGCAAATTTTTGATTTGCTCATGGCTGACAAGCAATTGATTTTCACAATAGGCCACAAGATGCCATCGACCTCAGAAATGGCCAAGAAATAGTATTGTAAATTTCACAATTCATGGAGGCATTCCACTAATAATTGTGTGATTTTCCGTAACATAGTGCAAAAGGCGATTGAAGATGGTAGGTTGAAGTTTCCAGAAAAAATAGAAGTCATGGGTGTTGATGAAAATCCTTTCCCCATGGTTGTTGCCACGAACGTTACTTCCCTTGCCACGGAACACCCTAAGAAGAAGGTGGACTTGGCAGATTCAAGAGCTAGTGGAAAACTTGAAAGTCCTGAAGCTGCAGTATCCTTGGAGAAAACGGTAACTGAGTTAGAAAAGCAACTCCGTGAGGCTCAATTAGCCTTAATCCAGCAAGGTTGTTGCCCCAAGTGTAAAATTCAGAATGATGGCTATCATAGAGATGTTCCAAAGGAGAAGCTGTCTAATGATGACCGAGGCCAAAAAAGGAAGGTCCATGATTGACTGACTTTCCAAAAGGTGGAAAACACAGTTATTGTAACTATTCCAGAGAAGGAAAGCCGGGTCCATATAGAAAGAAGGGCAGCAACAAGGAAACCAAAATTCCTTCCAAGGAGTCTGGAAAGGAATAGAATTTCCTATAAGGTAGGGCCTCGTCCTAGCAGAAAGTTTGAAAGTAGTAGATGGCAAGATAGAGGTTCTGAAGGTGACAGGTATTCCAGGCCAAAAATGGCCTCGGAAGTATGGGTCAGAAGAGGGAGTGAACATTTCTGACCAAGAATGGTTAGACCTCCTACCTCGCAAGATGAGGGTTGGAAAAGGCTTGATCATCCCAAGTTTCACATTCATGATGACTTTTATATGACTCGCACACAAAAGCGAAGGCAGCAAAGGAAGAGGGCTGATAGAAGGAAATTGTGGGAGAAAGACCATGGTTGGACTAATTGGTCAAAGAAGACTACTAAGCTATCAGACTTGTCTGAACTTCCAGCTAAAGGAGGGGTTAGAGATCCTGATGATTTATTGGATCTGGTTTCAGAGGTTGGAAATTCCTTGACTACAGATAATCCTCCTACAAAAGATAAAACAGATTTGGAAATTCCCAGCAGTCCCAGCAACAGCAAGAAAATCTGTTTTGGGAGCCTTCCAGGTGAATTTACTTGCAATATGGTAGTGGTTCTTCCCTTATTTTTTAAGCCACAGCCAAATCAGCCCAATTCAATGGAAGGAGATGTGGTAGATACAAGTCCTCCCATGGAAAGCCTAGGACAGCCTAGTTCTAGGCCAACCATTATAGAACCAAATAATGGTATTCATATAGAAGAGGTCTTTGAAGATGAAGCTGAGCATCTCCAGAAATTAAAGGGGGTTGTGATTGAAGAGAACAACCCCACGAGGCCAAAGAAAATTGTGTTGGAAAAGCCACCATATGGCATGACTTAGCAGCTCAAACCTTTGTACATCAAGGTACTAGTGTGAGGAAGGCCCTTGGCAAGAGTTCTGGTGGACAATGGTTCGGTATTGAATGTTGTTCCAGTCAATGTTATGCGCATGCTTGGAAAGTCTCCTGAAGATATCATTCCAATTGATGTATCCATTAGTGAATTCACGGGAGGAATAGTGAAGACGCAAGGAATACTACCGTTGGAATTAACGGTGGGAGATAGAACTTCCATCACAACCTTCTTTGTTATTGAGTCTACAGCGGCCTATAATTTGCTCTTAGGCCGCGAATGGATTCACCCAAATTTTTGCATTCCATCTTTACTCCATCAAATGCTAATATTTTGGGATGGAGATGAGGTAAAAGTGTGGAAGCTGATAGCCGGCCATTTGTGGCAAAGGTTTACCATACAGATGCTGAGTTGTATAGTGAAGAATTCGTTCTAATCAGATTTATTAGAAAGGATAGCAAGGGCCATCCAAAGAAGGCCACCATGAGAAGAACTCTTACGGAAGAAGATGTAAGGGAGTTTTTCCAAGAAACACCAAAGCCAACAATTCTACCCAAGGCCGGTGTTCAGCACTACATTTCAAATAAAACTTTTTATGGAAGAGAAACTTAAAGAAAATAGAATACTTGGCCAGGTGGTTAATTGTTGTCTTGCCAGGTTGAAAGCATATCTAGCTGAACTACGGTTGGAAAGGGCTATTGTTGCTTGTACTTCATTTTCAACCAATGTTTTGGAGATTATGGGAGATACTGAAGACAAGTTGGATGCTATCCAGCTGACAGACTTGAAGGCGGCGCCAACGAAGTTAGACGATCTCAAGGCCGAAGTACAAGATCCACTTTTGGAAGTTAATCTTGGAACAGAATAGGACCCTAAGCCTACCTACATCAGTAAACTTTTAGAACCGACCTTTAGAGAAGAATTGATTTCCTTACTTAAAGAATACAAAGATTACTTTGCATGGACATATGAGGAAATGCCAGGACTTTCCAGAGAGCTGGTAGAGCATAAGTTCCCAATTAAGGAAGGTTTCAAGCCTTTCAAGTAGCCTCTTAGAAGGATGTCCCAAGAAGTTGTTCTAAAGGTCAAAGAAGAGATAGAAAGGCTACACAAGGCTGATTTTATAAGAACCGCTAGGTATGTTGACTGGATTTCCAATATAGTTCCAGTTATTAAGAAAAATGGCAAGCTAAGGGCATGTGTGGATTTCCGGAATATCAATCTTGCAACTCCAAAAGATGAATACCCCATGCCTGTTGCTGACCAATTGGTAGATTCTGCTGCCAAGAATGAAATTCTTTCATTCATGGATAGGCATTCCAGATACAACCATATTTATATTGCGGAAGAAGACATTGCCAAGACGGCTTTCAGATGTCCAGGATCTATTGGAACCTTTGAATGGGTTGTCATGCCATTTGGATTGAAGAATGCTGGAGCAACATATCAAAGGGCCATGAATGCCATCTTCCATGACATGATTGGCTATTTCTTAGAAGTTTACATTGATGATGTAGTCATCAAATCCTCGACCAAGGCTCAACATCTCCATAATTTAAAGATGGCTTTTGAAAGAATGAGGTAGCACAAGTTGAAGATGAATCCTTTGAAGTGTGCCTTTGGGGTTTCAGCTGGAAATTTCTTGGGTTTTCTAGTCCACCAAAGAGGTATTGAAGTAGACCAAAATAAAACAAAGGCAATTATTGAAGCAAAGCCACCCGCCACTAAGAAAGAACTACAAAGTTTCTTGTCCAGGTTGGATATTTGAGGAGATTCATTGCCAACCATGCTGGAAAGACTCATGCTTTCTCCCTATTGTTGAAATTGAAAGGTGCTGAAGAGTTCAAGTGGATAGAACAGCACCAGCAAGCCTTTGAAGGTCTGAAAAGCTACTTGGCCAACCCTCCAGTGATGATGCCTCTAATCAAGAAGTGGCCTTTAAGATTATACTTATTGGCCGCTGACGAATCCATTGGAACTCTTCTAGCCCAGAACAATTAGTGGGGAAAGGAGCAAGCCATCTATTATCTAAGTAGGGTGCTCACTCCAGTGGAATGTAGGTACACTTTCATTGAAAAGTTGTGCCTTTCCTTATACTATGCGGCTATGAAGTTAAGAACCTATATGTTGCCAGTGGCCGTATATATCATTTCTCAAACAAATTCGATTAAGTATATGCTTTCAAGGCCTTTGATCACTGAACGTATTGGAAAGTGGTCATTGGCCTTAATGGAGTTTTCTTTCAAGTATATTCCACAAAAGGCAGTCAAAGGAAGGGCGGTGGCAGAATTTCTAGCATACTATCCTTCCACTAAGATTGATTTAGAAATATGTGACGAGGTGGATAATCTCTACCTTGATTATATACCTTGGACTCTCATGTTTGATGGATCAAGCACTCACGATGGAGGAGGGGCTGGAATAGTCATCATTTCACCAAAGGGAAGAAAAAGCACATTTTTTTCTTCTTGGATTTCAAGTGTACAAATAACCAAGCTGAGTATGAGGCACTAATTATTGGGCTGGAATTCCTATTGGAGCTAAAAGTGGAGAAGGTCCAGATTATTGGAGATTCAAATTTGATACTCAGCCAACTTTTTGAAGAATATAAGTGTCTTAATTGGCATTTGAGGCCTTTCCATTCTTTGGCCTTGGAATTACTTTGCTAGTTTGATGATTTCCAACTCAAATATTGGCCAAGACATTTGAATACGGAGGCTGATGATTTGGCACAGCTAGCTTCCAGAATGAAGGTCCCATCGGGTGTAGAAGAAACTTTGATCACAATTAAAAGAAGGATTCTTCCTTCTATAGAGTCACTGTATGAGATGGTAGGTCGTTTCCAAGCTGATGAGCTAGAAAGGATCAAGCCTGCCAAGAAAACATGGGAGATTTTCAATGTTGATATAGATGGCTTAGACTTAGAAGATTGGAGAACACTAATCATCCATTTCTTGCAGGAGCCTAGTACCAATGTGGACAAAAGAATTCAGCTTTTGGCACCTTATTATATCTTGATCGATGGAGATCTATACATGAAAAGTAAAGAAGATGGGCTTTTGCTAAGATGTCTTGGCAATAGTGAGTCCATAAGAGTGATGGCAGAATCACACCTGGGAATATGCGGAGCACATCAAGTTGGGATCAAAATGAGGTGGCTTTTGAGAAGGTATGGTTACTATTGGAAGGGTATACTAAAGGATTGCATAGAGTTTGCAAAGACTTGTATTGCATGTCAGGAATATGGCCCAGTCCAAATAGTTCTAGCTATTAACATGCAGCCAGTAGTAAAAATATGGCCATTCGAAGGGTGGGCTTTGGACTTTATAGGAAAGTTAACACCACCATCTGCAGATGGACATACTCATATTGTGGTAGCAACGGATTATTTTACAAAATGGGTGGAGGCTATTCCATTAAAGACCTGTGAGCAGCCAACAGTGATTGATTTTATTAGAAAGCACATTATTCATAGGTTTGGAATTCCAGAGACAACCATACAACCATATTATTCATAGCTTTCCAAAACAAGCTTACTCCGGCAGATTACAACCATGCCATGTTAGTGGAATTGGAAAACCTTGATGAAGTCCGTCTTAATGCCTTGGACCATATTAT